AATAGTGGCTTGTTCCAGTGGGTAGCTCTTGGTGCCTGAAGAGAAGGATGAGGTGTCTATCAGCTTGCTGAGCGTGCTTTTGTCACTTACTGGGGTTTATTCTGAATAACTAAGTTTTCTACCAGAGTTAGGACTGGTGGTCACTTTTTTTTTTTTTTTTTCCCAAGAAAACGGGATACTCTTGTTAGGAGTTGACACATTAAAAAAAGGTAGAAACAGGGAGGCCTTGGAGTTGAAAATCAAAACCGCCTACTGATTAACAGAATGTAAAAGAACTTAGTTTGTGAAATTAAGGTTAATCTTCCCTATTTCTTGACCTAAGAAGACTATTCTCAAATTCGATAACAATATTATTCATGTACATTGTTGTGCTGAAGTAATTTCCATAATAAATTGCCAAGGAATACAGGAAAGCTCTTGTTAAAGAGCAACATGGTTCTTTAGAAAACTGATGGGAAAACGTACATCTTAAAAATCCGAATGCGCGTGCCTAAGGCTGCAGCTTCGATGGCCATGTGTAGTTTGGAGCGAAGGCTGGGGGATTTTTTTTCTGAAGTGTGAAGAATATCTATATGGCAAGTAATTACTGAAGTTTCAGAGCTCTTTAGTTTTCTGAGTAATTAAATGTTCAGGTATAAAATTGCCCCCCTGTGTCACACTTACTTTTTTGCCATAAAATGCAAATAAAGGTTAAATGCCATTATTCCAGTGCATTACTAGTAAAATAACTATGAGTGCAAAATGAAGCCTGAACTTGGAGCTTGCTGGTTTGATGTGCTGTTATTCAGAGCTGTACTGGCGAAATAACAACTGCCTGTAATGAAGATACAGTTGCTGCTTCAGGTAGTTGCTGTCTTCAGAATAATCCTTTTATTCTTAAAATCTTCTGCCAGCATTCCCTTACTGAATCCTATAAAATGATCTGATAAGATGGCTCCGTATTTAGGGACGTCAATGGAGTAAAGATATGTATGTTTTTATTTCAACACCTCTTGAAGTGTTAACTGCTGTAAGTAGGCAGATGAAAACATCAACTTTAATTTGAAATTTTTTTTGAGAAAATTTAAAATCTATTATATTTCTGTAGGAAATACTAGGCTCCCTGCATGAGCCTAAGATAATTTTCAAGATTAGTTAATTCTCTTAGAGTGTTTGATGGGATTTTTCTGCGTGTGTGATGGGTCTTCCGTGGTAGGCACCACACAAATCTGTGATGACGTGGAATTCTGCTGAATAATAAATGGGTTGCTGGTCATGATGCTTTAAATTATGGTTCACATTTCTCTGATGAAATGTTTTTTTTTTTCTTAGCGAATGCAAAGAGTAAACTGGAACAACAACAACAAAAAAGACTGGTGTTCAGGATAAATGTTACAGGCTTTTTATTTCTTTGAATTATGACACGCTATGCATGCACTAAGCAAAAGTGTGTTAATAAGTCCTTCTTTTGAGCATTAAATGGTTCACGTAGTTGAATGATGTAGTATGATGCATTGAGATAGGTGGGCTGAAGCAAACCTTTCGGTGGAAACGACAGAGAGAGCTAGCAATGGACTGCAAACTTCTCTCCCAGATCTATGGGGAGCATTTGGTGAGAAGCTCATTGTGTGAATATGGTCATGAACAGTTAGTGTGAGAACTCAAGTTCTGTTCCCAGTTCAGTTTTACTTCATCCTTAACCTCATAGGAAAGCAAGGATGCACCTTGGATCCCGTATATGTGGGTCTGTCGTTTTCAGCTTGTGATTTTTCTAAGGCTCCGGTGAGACCACCAAATACTTCTGGAGGGTCTGTGAAAGGTGACAGAAATAGTCTTGTTACCACGGGATGATTGCTGTCCAACAATTGCTGTCTAGATAACAATTTTTTAGAGTTCTGTGATGTGAGGAAGGCTGAAATTACTGATAGAGATCCTTTCCAGAACCTTTCTCTGTCTTTTTAATATATAAACTTTTGGTTCAGGAAGCCTCAGAGCTGGAAAGGATTCAGGGAAGCTATATATTCTTGTAAAAAATGTTATTGTTGAGTGGATGTCTTCTTCTGGTCAGCGGTGTAAACAGGATACTGGGATAAACAGACCTTTCATCTGACCCAGCAGAGCTGTTCATACGAGGTATCTAGGTACTTTCCCAGTACAAACTATCACATATCACTGGGGGTGTGAAGTGGAGATAGACTCCAGCTTCAGAACAGGAGTATAAAATGAAAAATAAGAGAAAATACAAAAGTATATATATTTTTGTAATTACTGAAAATATGAAGAAGTGAGTCTTGGACAAGCTGAACGCAATGCAGAAGCTTGTGAGAAGGCAGATGTGACAGGGAGGTACATCAGCGGAGGGAGATAAGCAATCTTTTCAGATGGACTAGGAAGCGGTGAAATGGAGGAAGGGCAGTGAGCGAGGGAGGGGCTGCCCTGGGCTTGCCAGGACTTGGAGAGATGAAGGGTGAATCACGGCTTTGAAATTAATTTTGCAGTTCTAGACTTGAACATAAAATTTTCCAGAGTGCATGGCTGCAGGTAGGTATATCAAGCTACCAAGGTTATGGCAGTCCGGTGAGTTGCCACAGCTGCCACAGGATGGAAGGAGGCGTGTAAGGATTCTGTTAAGAAAGGGTGACAGAAAGGCCATCCAGCTTTGGCCATGTAATAACGTGCAAAGGGTCCGTAACGTTAACCAGGCTGCTGCGAGGGATGCTCTCCCTGTGGGTGGGAGTAGGGGCCACATCCGCAGGGACACCAGTTTGAACCTGCTTTGGCCGTTCTGGAGATCGTTATGAGGAGAGAGGTGCAGGCTGCACCAATGAACGGGCTCTGGCGTGAGCAGAACTCCTGGGTTTGGGTTTGTTCAGGCCTGCAGGTTTGGATTTGTGAGGTTCCAGGTGTGACTTTATTCAGTACGAATCTGTAGCATGAGGTGAAGTCTCCGTTTGTTGCTGTGCATTACTTGGAATAATGCATTCAGAAAGCTTCTTCTGTAAAAAAATTAAGCCTAAAGCTTTACTAATCCATTACACCAGTCTTTCTAAAGCATTTGTGTTAAATCAGCATTAATTCACACTGAAGTTTTTTTAAGGTTGTTCAGGCTCTATTTGAAACTCATTTGTCCATTTCTAACGTTGTAACAGACGTTGCAAAATGTGCAAGATGAAACATACATTCGTATTTCCATGTCTGTTCTGAAAAGGAACTGTACAACTCAAAGCAGAATTGCTAATGTGACTGAAGTTGAAGCGGTTTGGCCTGAAAAACTGACGTTTTCATATTTGAAGCGTCTTTCAGCAGTGTTGCATGTAGATTGCAAATAGACACTGAACTGAGGAAGTGCTTCTGCACCTGCAGCTTGTATTTGAGAGTAATGCTTTTTAAATGGCATGCTGTTGGGCCAGGAAGAGAATTTAGACCTCATCTTGAAAAAAATGCCAAATTATTAATTTACTGTAGTATTTCCAGTCTCGTGAGGTGAGTTCTTGAATATTTTATTGAACAGCTGTTAACATGACATTCAAAAAGACTGAAAGATACACACAGATCCTTGAGTACATGTATATGTGTTATCTGATAAATATCTTGTGTGTTATTGATATATAAATACTCATATATAAATAAAATAAGTTTAAGTATATATGTGCAGGTATATATGTGTACAAATAGTGTATAATACTTTAATAATATTATTTGCATGGGGGTATTTCCAGGAATATAGGCTATGTATACACAGACACAGACACGCCTAAACCCCGTCTGATCAGCGAAGGGGACTGGGAAGACTCGTGATTCAAAGGGGTCTCGTTGTGAGGCAGCGTGAGTAAGGACCAAGTCAAGGATAAGAGGCTGGAAGCTCCCTAGGAAGCGTGTCCGAGCTGCCTGCTAGGCAGGGTTTGTTCTCCCCCATGCCCTCAAGGCCCCGGGTTCCTTGGCGTTTGCAGGAGTGACGGGTCGGACAGCAGAAGGGCCAACCCTAAAGCTGCCGAGGCCAAGGGGCAGAGTGGAAGGAGGGGTCGGTGTCGGTGCCAAAGCCTGCGCGCGGGCCAAGGAGCATGCGTTGCTGGGGGCGGGTTAGCTGCGAGTCTCGGTATAGGAACGCTAGAACGGGCGGCTAATAATTGGGCAAAGAAAGCTTGAGGTTTGTTGGGCTTTAGAGAGAGAGAGGCATCAACAGTAATCGTTTAGGTGACCAAACTGGAACCAGATTCTAAGGTGCTTCTTATCTGCATGAGTCAATTGGAGTGTTTCTGTAAGAAGAATATTACCGAGTTCGGGTTTTGATTGTCCTTCTATAAAGCATCATAGCTGTCTGTGCAACCATCAGAATAATAATGACAGAGTGACTATATTTAGCATTGTTTATTTCTAATAAGTTTCTCTATCTGCACCAGGGACCTTGGATGGACAGAGAGGACTCAAACAGGAGAAAAGCTCGCTCAGCATTCAGTACTGCACGTGAGTTACAAGTTTCAGTTTGCCTTTAGTACATTGTGTGCCTGAGTCTAGAATGTGTCTTTGTAAATAAATAAAACCAAGGTAAAGTTTCCTTCTCCTTTGACAAGCAAGTCACGTGCTCCTGCATTTTAGCCTTCGCAGCTCTAGCAGTGTTGTATGAGATCCCATTCCAGAATAAGCGGTCCAAGCCACCGTCAGTCCTGGGTGGGCTTGAGAACCGTCATTTTTGTGTCGTTGGGGTGCCGTGGTAGAGGCCAGGAAGTTCAATAATTGATCCAAACCAGCTCTGCTCTGCTCAGGATTTAGTTTATGCCCTAAAAGTCAAAAGATTTCGGTTTAGAAGTCAGCTGTGTTTAATTTGGACTATTGGATTCTCTTCCTGTTAATAAAGTTATTTACACTAACTTACTTTAAAAAGGCACATTCTTTTAAAAGTTATAGTTACATTGTATATTAGAGATCTAATATTGCTGCCTACTGTCAGGAATTGGGTTTTACTCATTCTTAATTCTGTTGACAAGTGATTCCCTGGTCTTGAAAATCCTGGCTCCAGGATCTCAGAAAATAACAGCTTCTGAAATGTCGTCGCCCGGCAGCCACTGCCCACACTTGGAATCGGTCGGTGAGATAACGAAAGAGGAACTGATACAGAAATCTCATGTGAGTGGTAGCAGCTTGCTTTATTCTGGTCACTGTTAACTCTGCTCACTTACTTTGGCTCTGTACCTTGGCAGATATTATTAGTTACAGATGCCTTTAAGTGTTAACCGTGGGTAAAATCCCCTGTACTGGAACAGTAAGGTTTAAATGAAGTACGGGAAGAATTACGGGCTTGATGAAACTCAAACCAAGTAACGAGTGCTTCCCCAGCAGTGCTTGCGAAAGCAAGGGGTGTTTTTATGGAAGTGTTTGTTGAAAGAGCTAGCGTGACACCAGGCTGGACGCTTACGCTCAGACACGGCCGCTGTAGCAGGCGGTTACTTGGAACGTGGATGCGACGTGGTGTAACTGATGGCTGCAAGTAGGAGCGGTAAGAAAGGCATGTATGGTTAAGTTTTTCTTGGGTAACTGTTCACTGTTTGGTGGAGGAGCCACAGTTTGAGAAACTGCCCCTACCTGAACACTTGGTGTCCGCTGGTATTGATACATGGGACAAAGGCAGACCTGGTGACCCTGGGAGCAGCCGGGCGGGGGTGAAAAGCTGAACCTTTCCTGTCCGTGGTGCTGCGGTCCGTCGTCTGAAAAGGGTGACAGTTTGCGGCCGAGGGGTGCGGCGTCTGCCGCCTGGCCGCTGGCTCTGCAGGGGGCACGGACTGTCTGCGAGTAGGAATGTGCAGTTGTTACCAGTTCTATCACTTTCGTTTCTTTTTATGTTAAATTTATGAGAAAGACCAATTTTAGGGATTTTTGTAATAATGTGATGCGATATACATGTTTATGCTTCATTTAGAAGAGCAACTTGGTTTAAGATGGAAGCTCAGAGAAGATCCAAGGTTTTACTAGAAAAATATGCTGATTTTAAGATTGTGAAGTGAAAAAAAATTGGGTTGGTTATCCACACACTCTTTTTTTGGTCTTAAAATTATTCTGCTGATACTGAGCTTTACAGTGTTTTTTCTCATTTTGTCTTCAAGTTGTGGTTTACTGGTGGAAGTAAATGAAATAATACTTTGCTTGTGTATTTAACTTTAATAGGGCACTTGTCAGGACTGTAAGGTCAGAGGACCCAACCTTTGGGCGTGCTTAGAGGTAAGTTGTTCCATGGTAGGGTCCTTTAGTAATCTGTAGATAAAGTCGGTAGTATTTCTTTGGAAGAAACAACTATAATGAAGTTCTTTAACTTAAAAAAAGTAATTTATTATTTAAAAGCAAAACCTCTTGTGCAGTTTCCTACATTTAAAATTATTTACCCTCTGTCAGGTACATATTTTTTATAGATTAAGATTACTGTGTTTAAAATGAGATTTTTTTTTGGATAAGAAGCCAGCATATTAAGGGTTTTTTTTTTTTTCTTGAATTACACTTTTTAGCTTTTAAGATTTCTTTTTTTTTTTTAAATCTTTTCTCCAGGTCTGTAGATCTGAAAAATACTGTATTATTCCTGAATTAATTATGTTACTTTGTGTAAGCCCCTCTCAGCATTTGATAACGTCTAGCAGTAAATGCTGACTTTTTACAGCATAAAAATACATACTCTGACTTTTTTTATTCCTAAGCAAAACAAAGAAGAAAAACTCACCTTGAAACTTGTAGAAGCTTGTATAAGCATTCTCCACACTCTGTATGAATTTTGTACAGGCTCTACCCTGGATATAGTTCTTTCTTACATGTGCTTTTGCCTTACTCTTCTTGCTGTCTGAAAAAAAACCTGTACTTTTCAGTGTATGTAAAAAAAAAAAAAAAAAAAAAAAAGACTGAAAACGTTCCTTCTGACTGATCGGTGACACCAGCAGGGAAGTGTGTAGCTAATTCAGTTCTTAAAATGCCTCACAAGTTCCTCAGCCCTACAGCTGTTCCCAGAGACGGAATTTTGCTCTATAGCCTTGACTTCATTTCTTGGCAACTGTTGTGCAAGTCCTGTCAGGAAGAGACCTCTAGGTGTGCGTGTGAGTGCTTTTAAAGATCGACCTCACGAGTTTCCTTTTGAGTGGATTATGGGAGCAGTTACGAGATCAGATTATTTTGCTCCTTTTATCCACAGGAGATAGAAAGGAAGAGGGAAGGAAACAGCGTTCAGTGCCATTTTGTTAGACAGCTTGGAGTTTAATTGCATATAAAAACCTTCTTGGGAGTAGGAGGAGGTGTTCAGGGATGCATCAGCCTGGCAGGTGGGGAAACGCTGTGAAGCTTAAAACATGTTTTTTGTTTCTCGCTTTGAGCTCCTGAACTGTTATTGGAAAACTCAATTTCATACCAACATTTCCAGAGGCGAGTTTTGTAACTGCAGTAGGACACTTAGCGTCATGCTGCGGTGTGTCTCCTCTCGGATGAATGGGCATCTCGCCTTCACCTTTGTCAGTAGAAAAATATGGTGAGATCCCAGCACGTGAACTCTGCAACTTAACAGATATCTGTGGTTATTAATACAGAATGTCGACTGTGTTCAGCTGCTACTTGATTGTATAAATTAACGGGCTTAGAGAGTTATGCAGATAACATGCTGCTCCTTCTTATGTGATTGCCTTGACTCATGCGAATGAGGAATTAATGAAAATTGCTCGAAGATTGGCAGCTGCAAGATTCCACACTCAGCCAAATACATTTTGTAATTAGTACCATTAAAAACAACAACAATTTTGCATGTTGTAACTAGAATGTAGTAAGTACTTAACTGTATAGTGCTGGAAACTCTTATTTAAAGGTGAAAAAAGTAGTTGTGAAGTCATACGCCGATAAATAGGCCCTGCAGATAGGGGCTTGCAGGCATTTCTCTATAAATGTGTCATGTTCCAAGGCTGCTGCAAGTCGGTATTGTAGAGACTGGGCTAATGTCATGTTTTCCTGTAGATAATCCCTACCAAATAATGAACTGTAAAAAATACATCTTGACCTTAATCTTAATAAATATATCAAAATGGCCAAAAGTTAAGTTCTAAACACGTTAAATGTCTAACGCTGCCCGCCAGTGAGAGGAGCTGTGTTAAATCTTGCAGCATTCTTATTGCTTTAGATGATACTTTTTTTAACACTTACTGTGCACGTCTCTTGGTTTGTGTAGGGCTCTGCAAGCGTGAAATTTGAGTGAATTTTGAAGGGACTGGCGGTATATTCCTATTCTGTAAACCTGTTTGGCACCACTTCTAATTCTGTGTGCTTCTTCATGTCTTGCTCCACAGAACAGGTGCGCGTACGTTGGCTGTGGCGAATCCCACGTTGATCACAGCACCACCCATTCCCAGGTACGCGGTTCGCTGGCCGTGCAGTTACACTTCACAGCAGTGAGGTACTGGGGGAGCTTTTCTGACTCGTCTTCATGAAGTCAGTGACCTGTGTTAGCACCACTGCCTGGGAGTTTGGTGGGCTGTGGTTGCTGGCCGTCCGTAGAAGTGGGTCTTACGAATCGAGGAGCGTGTGAGCTTGCAGTCCTTGCGCGGCTGCCCAGCTGTTTGTGTGGTTCTGGCATTGGTGTGCTCCTTAAAAGGGCGTGGTGAAAGTTAAAGAACAAACAACAATTACTGATGATTTTCAAGATGCATGGACAAAAGACTTCTTGAGTGCTTCGGCCCATACGGAGTACTTCGCTGCTTCAGGCTGACTTTTGGGGTTGTGGCTGCCTGGTGGGAAGCTGGATTAACGAAGATGGGAGCTGAGCCGGTGGTGTAGGATAGGAAGTGTGAATTACCAGAAGCAGGTGCTTTGTTTCTGCATTGTGCTCCCTGTTCCAGTGGCTACGGATGAAGGAAGGACCTGTAGACCGAGCTGAGCATATCCTCTCCTGCTGTGCTCCGATTTTGGGTCCAGCTTGGCAGGAGCAGTGGTGTGTGCACTGTGTTCTCCAGCGTGCCAAGTTCTGGCGAGGCTGGACAGCTTGAGTGCATCTGTTTGGGTCTTCAACTCGCTGCCTGTTCTGTACACACACCTGTGCAAGTGGAACACTTGCCAAAACGAAGCAAGTGAAATATGTCATTCTCTCTTAACAAGGATACTGGGGGCAGGGGGATGGCAGTTTTATCAACATGTCACTTCAGAATTGCTGACTTTCCGATTAAATGAAATTCTTGCCACCAATTTACAGTATGTCTGTCAGAAAATACATCTAAGGTTCCACACTGAACAATTTTTCATCCCTAAAATTCCTAAAAAACCCTCCTGATGATGTTAAAATGCACAAATAGTATATACCAGGGGTTTACAAGAAGTACACTTTATAACTGCATTTTACCAGCTCTCCTGACTTTTCTTTTTTGAAGCAGCACTTCGAGAAACTGCGTATTTATACAAATCATTAGTGTATTAATATAAATGTATATAAACACTTTTTTTTTTTTTTGCCAGCTATTTAAGCTGAATCACAGTTCTAAAGCCTTTACAATAGATATATAAATGAGCTGCATGTAGTGCAATTCAGGAACAGATGGTCCCTGAGTTTTTTGCCCTCAATTTCATACCTCTTGGCTTTCTACAGTGGTTTATTCCTGCTTCATATGCTGTTTTAGCAATGCTATGTACTTGCCAGGTAAGAAAAAGGGAGTGGATAGTTTGCTTGCTGTCAGTGACATCCTTGTTTTGATTTTCTCTTTACCTAATTGTAATTTCTGGATAGTAAGCCCTCTTCTAGATTTTTTTTTTT